GGAAGCAAGTCATCATTGATTGGGAACATCCTGACCCATCTTGAGATCATCACTATGCACTGAAGGACTGGAAGCCAGAATGGGCCAAAGTGACTCAACAGGCGGCATTATATGGTCAGCGAAAGTTGATTGCATTGGAATTCATCGAGAGGTGTGTATTATTTCTACAATGTGTATCTCCACTCAAAGCAATTTTGTCTATATCAGGTTCGAGCGGGATGAACAATCATTTCAGCAGGCCTATTCATGTTGTCAGGATGGAATCACTCAACTTTTGCTGCAGATACGGGCGTCGAAACAGGAGAGTGGTACAATAAAACGCTGCAAGGGTAAAAATTCCAACTTTGCAGATATCTAACAATCCTTCATTAGAAGTACATACATATATATTCATATCTATTCTTCAGCTCAGTACTATACCTATACCTATTCATATCATATAACTATTAACTATTAACGAGGAGGCGACAATCGTCGATGACAACGACGACGACAACAAACGGAAGCAAAACCAAGATAAACGTGTGCCGAGTTCTCCGGCAGAAGACAGCGGACGAACCGGTAACGTTACCCCGCTCACCCAATCAACCCCGATCAGTGATTTCCACCCATTTTGGATCCATACCGCGGCCCCGCCCGGCAGGATCAATTTCGCGTGGACCGTGGGCAGAACACGTTAAATTCTCCGGAATAAGTTAAAACATTGTGTACATTGGCGGTCAAAACTAATGGACCCCCCGTATTTGGAAGGTTTGTTCCCACGGCCTTTGGACCACTTCGTTCCTGCTTGTCTGCTTCGCTGGCAGGCGCAGTGGGCACGATTCACTGTCTTTCTGTGTAATTCCTTTGTAAAGCAATCCTATCTACATATAATACATGATCATCACCAAGAAATTCCAAGAAAAGCTGCACAAAACAAGAATTTCCACTATCTGTCAATAACCAATCCACATGAAGTCATTCTCGCGCAGAGCAACCAGGCAGCGAGGGAATGACTGATACAAGTGCCAAGCATACACCTGAAAATCCTCAGACCCCCATTCAGCCTTGATAGCATCAAAATACTGATCAGAATTGAGAAGATTTGGGTTTTTGTGGGCGGACACAGCGCTGGACTTCATGCCAAGCATTCTCAATGGGGGAGAGGTCAGGAGAGTTGGTGGTAACGAGCTTGCCTCATTTTTGTATGAAAGAGAAAGGAAGGAATCAAATGGGCACTCCAACCAACCAATCTAATACACAATATGCAAGTTCACTGCTATCAAATTTATTTAATACCAAGGGGTAGCGTTGGCAAAGGTTCCGCAAAGCTTTGAGAGCTAAGTAAGAAGCTTCGATCAACCAATTTGAATCGTTCTAAGGATTTGGTATATTCCTTTGATTAAGGTAGATTCAGCACGATTTGTGCTTTGATTGTATTGATATGGGTATATCAAGAATTGGGGGTTTGAATCAAAGTAAATTAAAAACTGAAACACACAGACCCCTACAGAGGGCTAGAACTATGTGCTGGCACAACCACACAGCGTGATTTGCCCTTAAGACCAATGACTAATCCTAAGTTCGAAGAATACCCAACAACTGGATATACTTCTCGCAGTTACAAGAAGCAGAACACGACATTCCTATACTTCCAAGTGCTAGGCCCGAATGGCTGCTAGCGAAGAGGTTTCAGTCTGGTGGGAGTGTGTCTTTCCTTTTTACAGATTAGCACTGCAACGTTGTCCCAAAATCACTTCCATTCCAGATACATCGGATTGCTATTTATACATACAGGATATAGAGTTACACAGTACAATTAATTTAATAAAATAAACGTTCGGAACTGCAAGGAGACTTCTACAATTGGTCAGATACCATTTAATTTGAATCTTCATATCCTTATTTGGTCCATAATGGTTCCAAGATTCTAGTATACCCCCAAACATAGGTAGGTACTTCAATATTCATCTGATTTAATTGTTTTGGAGAATGACTCGAATGGTGTTCAACACTTACTTCGATCATTTGTCAACTCATCTGGAGGCAAATCAGCTCTCCTCGATTCTAATCCTATTAATCTGATTCATCTGGATTAAACTAATTGCTTCTCTCTTTCAATAGACACCCATTATGCCTATACTCTATCAAGGGAGTTACACATAGTATTCATTTAATTGCATTCTTCAATATTTTCTATGTCAGGACTCTCTGACATTCATTTGATATGTCTTTGGAGCCTCGCAGTTCTTTGATCATTCTTCTAGTCATTTTCCTTAACCATGCAACCTAATTGGTCTATTAGATTAATGCATGATCTTGTTCTATGGTGCAATCGGGTATAACACAACCAATTTGGAACAACTGAATTATCTCACGTGAATTTATTTAAATTTCTTATCCCTATTACAGAAATGCATATAATGATAGAGGGAACAAAACTGTAAGACCAATTTTTGATACCTTCAAAATTGAGGAAATAAGTTCCCACCGAATGGCACATTTCCAAAATAGGAAGCTATTAGGGTTAGGGTTATGCTTATAATCCTTTTACTTTCTTTATTGTCTCTCATTGTACCTTGATAAATATTACATTCACATTATTTTCAAGTCAAAAGCTTTTGATTGCATGCTTAGGCACTATTTGTGACTCTCAGAACTGTTGTTTCTTGGTCAAAATAAACAAGTATAGGCACAAAAATTTTTCGCTAACCCCAAATGGCGCCTGTTCCTGATTGGTTGTGTTATACCCGATTGCACCATAGAAGGAGTATTTGATAATTCCTGAGTTCTAGAAAGTCATTTTGAGTCAATCCTCGGCTCATGGTCACTTGAGTAAGTTCTTCCAAACTCCTGCCAGTGTAAGGTCCAATAAGAATACCCTTGGTACGTCATACGTGAATGGTCATCCCTCGGATGTAGTCCGAGTCTGGTATAATCCTGCTTCACAAACAGGTAGACTGCTATCCAAAAGTAGTACCGGGGATGAGTAAACTAACCAACTTGTGGTAGTATGGGCATATGGTCCCTTCAACTTATTAGACTGATTCAGTATTGACTTTGACTGTCAATCTGGGTCTCAATTACAGTCCTCTCGATACGAATCTATGCATGAAAATGTCACAATTCACAGCATAGACGTCTAGCCAAAATTTAGGCGTGTCAGCGGGCCAAGGAAGAATGGTGGTGAAGTGTTCACTGAACCATTTCATGGTCTTTTTGGACTTGTGTTTACTGTCGTTGTCTTGCTGGAAGAAGAAATTATCTGGGTGATGAGGTGGAAGTTTGGCAAGGAAAGGGAGCAAGTTGGCCTCGAGAACTGCAATATACTGGTCCAAATTCACCAGTCCTGTCAGCCATACAATAGGCCCAGTGCCCCAGGGTCCGATACAAGCCCAAACAAGCACACTACCCTTGTCTTTTCTCTTTCCAGCCCCATGTGCAGTTTGTTTCTGAATACAGTACTCATCTAACTGGCCTTCTCCTCTCTTTCTTTGACAATATTGCCTGATATCTGAGTGCTCGAGCTTGAACTTCTTCTCATCTGAGAAGATGACTGTATTTTGGTTGAAAATCTCGAGTGATTCCCAAGCAACGTGATTATTCCACCACAGACGACGACCAGCAACATGCTCTGGCTTCAACAAAGGCTTTTTCGGTTGGGCAAAACCCTCATATCCAACCTCGCGAAGGTTTCGGCAGACTGTGTGCTCTGAAATATCAGGAAAGTAGCAATGTTGCGCATGTGCTCTATCGCGCAGTTTCCCACTGTCAAACTGGTCTGTAACCTCTTCTAAAGTAGCTGTATTGATTTTCCGTGGTCTCCCACCAAATTTCTCCTTCCTGGCAGTCCAATAGCAGTCATTGCCATGTGCTTTTGCCTCACAGTAGTGCTTTTTAATGGTGTTTTTTGAAATAGATGTTTTGGCAAATAAAGGCTGGCCAAGAATTTTGCTCCAAGACATCTTGTCCTGATCGCAATAGATGAAAATGGCATGGACTTTTGTCAGTGTGCATTTGGTATATTCTCGGGGCACTTTGTGAGGATTCTGTAGGGTTGCGAACATGTGGCTTATTATGGAGGCAGCATCATTTTGTGCTTGCAGGGCGTTTTAGGTTTGTTTGTCAACCTCCGGAGCTTTGTAATTTAGTATATTAATATATTCCCTATCTACGTTACACAAAAACAGAGGTATGGGTGTTCAATCCACTGTATAACACAGAAGAACAAGGAGGAGCGATGAGTTCAGGCACTGTGAGAAAGGTTTTTCCAAATACGGGGGTCCATCAGTTTTGGTCGCCAGTGTAGTTTACAGCGTTTGCCCGGACAGGGTTCTGGTAGAGCTTCCGGGGGCCTGAATTGGCACACCTTTTTAATTATCTGCAGGAAACCAAGAAGACCACACCATTCTATCATAAGTGAATATGTGGGTATGAACGAAATGCGACCTTTTTACTGCTTGATTTGGGCATGCCTTACATTCAGCGTATGGTCATTGATACCCAAAAAGCCCTAACATGCCAGCCCCAGGCCAGCCTGACTCTGTACCCTATGTACCCTAATTCGACAAGATTAAAGGATCCGAGCTTTCAAGTCTCTGTGGTTGTACTGGAATTTTGACAAAGTCTAGACGGATATTGACAGACATCGATGCCCATGAAGTATTCAGCTCAAAGTAACACTGACGTTCAGCGCGCCGCCTGAACCACGGCCTTCTTTTCTTCCGTGCTCGTCTCAATGACCGCGCGCAAGTCATAGGAGTAATGGGATCACCATCAGTCTTTTGACTCTGCGCGTCCTAGTTTATTATTCAGCCATTTGAAAGTCTGGTAAGTGCAACCTCACGACACAATGTCAACTATCTGTATCAATGCCTGCGCTGGAGTCGACGTGGTAAATGGGCCCTTTTTTTGTTTGATCTCTTCATTAACCGCAAGTAAGTATGGTAAATGTGCCATTGCTAGACATGTCCTCATGGTATAAAAAGGTGAAGACTACGCATTCCAAGAGTGTTATAGGTTCGCCTTCTTCGTCATTGTTCTCATTCTTGCGTTGTAACTTTTCTTCAAGTTCTCTCCTAAATTGCCTGTGGCAATTCATCCTTGAAGGATTTTCCATTCGTTCTCCAATCGTCTTTCTTTGTTTTGATTTTGACTTGCTTAATAACACTCCATACTACATAGACATGTATGTTTACGCCCACCTCTTATTTTTCGTCGCATTTGCCGTATTCACGAGTGAAGCGTCCCCGCTCGGTGATCGTGCCACTCTTTTAGCCAGGTACAACAACATCCCCAATACAGGTTCTCGCAGCTTCATTCTTCGAAGGTAATTATTTCCAAAGATCATAGTCATACATTATACTGAGAGATTTTTCAAACTCAAGCCAATTAACGCCCCCAATCGCCTGCAACGCTGCCCAGCCATCTGCACCCCCTCCTAGTCCATCCGGATCCGCTTCGATCAAACGGACAATTCCGACAACTTCCATCACACCGACCGGTTGGAGTGACCTGTGTGCTGCTAGCGGAATACACGACATCTCCATCACCGACCTATGCTTTGACTTAGGTCAGGATGGATGGGAGTATGCTTTATCTGCCGTTGCCGATGCATGCGTACAGCAGAATATCGCAGACGAGATGATCTCTTTTGCCAAAATTCCGGGTATCCTCAACTCGGATGATATCATCTCATATGCGATTTCGTACCGCCAGCAACCCAGGGAGGCAGTCTCAGTCCTAGGAGTCGTTCCATCCACTCTCTATTGCATGATTCCACCTGTGAATCCTGAGTTGAGTAATATTGAGAACGTGCAGCCTGCAGGCGTAAACCCAGGACTCTTTGGTAGTCCTAGTGTGCCCGTAGTGCCGTTTGGATCTGGTATGTCTTCCCTCAAAATAAAAGGATGGATTTGATGACCGGACGGACGATGCTTATAGATGGCACTTGCCCATACGGCTCCACCCCAGATGTTAGCATATGTGCTTGCGCAACCATCAATGGAACCACTGGAGCTTCCAGCGTTCCCATTCCAGTTCCAGCAAATACCACCAACTCGACCTTAACCGGTGCCAATTCCACTTTGACCGGAAGTGATCTGACGAACGGTACCGGAGTAAACGCCACCTCTACTTCGACCAGCAGTGCCGCAACGTTGAATGGCACGGATACCACCAACTCTCCTTTGACAGGCAGCGGTTCGACTGGCACGGACTCCACTTTGACTGGCAGCGATTCGACAAATGGCACGGATATCACGAACTCCACTTTGACCGGCAGCGGTTCGACAAATGGCACGGATACCACCAACTCTACTTTGACCGGCAGCGATTCGACAAATAGCACAGATAGTGCCGACAGTTCGACACTTACCTTCAGTAGTTCAGGAGCTACTAGCACAGGGATCAGTGCCACTGTTAGCATAGATACCGCCACAGCTAGTGCTACTGCGACGTTGATTACTAGCACTGACAGCACTGACGCGAGCATTACCTCCACCGCAAGTGCAAATGCGTCCACGGGAACATCGGGAGTAACTTTCGATGGCAATATTCACGATCCAGCTGGACGTTAGAGATAAGATAGTCATATACTTGTTGTAATGTTTTGAGAGTAATGAAGACTGTTGTCGAGGGTCTTTGTCATGAGAAAGGAACACGAGAATAGTCAAGGCGTTGTAGGTTAACTTATGGCCTAATTGAGGTCCATATCCTCCTCCTTGATGTCCAACTCCACTTGATTGGCATCGCCATCGTCTTCCGATTTTTCATCAGGTTGCCAACGGTCTATGCTGACCTAACATCTTTTTCAGCCGTCATTGTTCGGAGATGCGCACAACTGCACACCTTCAGTGATCCATTCTTTCTAGTTTTTCGGAGAACAACATATCCAAGGCGCATTATGTGTTCATTATAATGTTCTTCTATGACCGACGACAGGAGTTCCTGCACTTGCATTCCACTAATTATTAGCCTAAAAACGATTCATCAAAGGACTTTGGGACGGAAAATGAATGATTCATACGATTCATCCCGTAGAAAGTCATGCTCGGGACCACTAAATCTAGTTGACTTGGGCAATTCCAGGAGGTCCAGAGAATACTCGCAGTCTCGGTCGGGGCAACACCATTTGACTTGGCCAGGATGTATGACAGGAGCATCCATCAACCACCGTGGAATTGTTTTTACCCACTGAACGTCGATATCAGAGTCGGAATCGGAATCAGAGTCGGGAGGCGCCGGTGCGTCTTCGAGCGACATGTCACTATCATAGATCGGTCGACCATGGGCGTCGTCATATTCGGAGACTTGTTCTACACCCGGGTAACCTTCATCGTCAAATACATCGGGAAATTCATAGTTCTACAAAAGCCAAAGCTAATAAATATATCGAGATTGAAGAGATTACGAACAACCGGACGAACAATGCATCGCCTCTCGATTCGTGTTTCCCATCCACCTGGAACTGTTCCAAATCGTGACAGATCAATAGAGCCGGATTTTGAAGGTCGCTGCTTTTGCTGAAAAGATTTCTTCTTCGAATAAGGTATATACGGGTCACCCCATCCCCATTTTCTCCATGATTGTGTCTCGCGTTGTAACCTCCGCTTCTCAGGTTTCGCTTGTTCTAGCTTTAGACAAAAGTTGTACCACGACTTCAGATTGACGTAAGTATGGCTGGTGTGCGAAGTTGCAAGCTGTTGGGCCAGAAACCATTCTGCATGAGAAGCCATGACTCCGTAAACTTCAGCACTGGAGAGGTGTCGAGGACGACGAGGAAGTGTAGTATTGCCTTCTTCGTCGACATCCGAATCGAGGTCCTGGTCAAAGTCATGGCGGTGATGCTTTGCTCCTAGTTGGTACCGACGTTTTAGAGCGAGCATGATGCGTTTGGAAGTACGTTTCTTCAATGGATAAGAAGGGTCTTGTACATGGAGTTGCTTCACGAAGTCGTAAAATCTCCAGTGTTCTAAATAGTTACGACTTAGAGCAGCAGTCTTGATATCCAATGAGCGGATGATCCAACTAATGTAGGTAGTAAATACAGATAACTGAAGGGACAGGATTACTCACAAAACAGGTTTCGGTCTCGGAGTACCAAACCTGGTCGGAAATACCAGCTCGTCTTCGTATCGACCTTCCTCTGCACAGAGAAGTTAGACGAGGCGAAAGATGTCGGTATACACCAGGAACTTACTACTGAGAAACGAAGCTTGATGATTCTTTTTACAATAAATCCAGACGGAAATCTTGGACCCTGTACCCGGTGCTGTTCCATATAGACTCTTGAGGGTCAGTCTACTCTCCTCGATATTACTATTTTGTGCTTCGTCGCGTTCACGCAATGCGTTCTGAAGTGCTTCGTGGCCTCGGGGTGAAAGCCATCGTAGGTCTTCAATTTTCAATATGCCAAAGAACTGTACAGATAGGGTATTCTTGGGAGGTGTTGCGACGTACTCTGTTTCGTCCAAGCTATTGAATACAACATCAATTTCGCGAACAGGCACTGAGAATGAATTACCCTGTAGATTTTTTCTTGGATTTCATGTAAACATTTCTTAATTCGAGTTTCTTTGGTGCACGAATCAGTTTTGGAAGGTCTTGGGATAGTATAAACGCATCTGGATAAGGGCCAAAAGGTTCTGAGATGAGATTTAGCAGGGTCATGAGAGTATTGAATCAGAGAGTATTATTATTGAATCAAGACCCAAACTTAGCGCCGGCCATAATAATGACTTAGACGCACGGGTCTTCATGTGCTGTCAGTAGGGCTGCTCAATTCTTGCCTCACCTCACCGCCTCACCTCACGAGCTGTCACGGAATTCCGCTTTTGGATGTCTGATTGATCCGGGCTGATTTACCGTCGCCTTGTTTTCTCGTTTTCATCCTCTCGTTTTCGTTCGACAAGACTGTCCGGTTCATCTTCGTTCATTGATGGTATGTAGCTAGTACACCTACCTTACAACAACACTATCAGTAAATTCACCATCGAAATTTTGTGCTTCTTCATCATCAAAGCCATCATCAAGTTGAAAGGAATCATCATTGGAGTTATCGGAATCCTCCATGAGGTGAGAGGCAACAGTAAAGGCTTGCGCGATGTCGAACAACTCATTCTGCACCTCTGCACAAGTAATCTGAGGCATAATGAATATAAAGTCTTGCTAGGTCTTGCCTGGGTCTTGCTGCAACTACTGTAGATTACACATATGGTACCGATCAATCGGACATCCAAAAGCGGAATTTCGTGACAGCTCGTGAGGTGAGGTGAGGTGAGGCAAGAATTGAGCAGCCCTAGTGCCATGTCTTCCGACTCTCCTACTAGCTCGCGAGCTTCCACCCCAGTAATTCTAACAGCCGCCGCCAACGCTTCTTCTCAATATGATACTGCTACACCCACTGCCGATCCCAGCTCGAGCCGCTATCGGTTTACATACGACCCTGAACGACGTGGACCAGAGAGCATCTCTGGAACGACCACACACGGCCAAGACTATTTTGCTGCGGCTCCAGCAGGTCTAGGCTTTCATTTTGGCGGGTCTACAGTGAGCTTAAATCTTGGGGCCCTACCCAACGAATGGAGCAGCTCAAAACATGGATTTCATGGTAAGTAGGCAGTTCTTCAATGTTAACGCGTTGTTTTGACAATATCCACAGCAATATCAACTGTCCTTAACAATCCTCACAAGAAACAAGCACCGCCGAAAGCTCATTCAGCTTTGCCTTCTGTGATGCCCGCCGAACTCCCGCGCGTACGACGGAAGGATTTCGACTCATACCTGCAAGCCATAACACCGGAATGGGAGAAACTCGAGAAGAGCTTGTCATCGAACGCAGCAGACACTTCACAATTTGAAATGCAACAGAGAGCTGGCCCATCATCAAATTTCGGTCAGTCTAATCGCAAAGGGTCAATTGGTTCTTTAGCTTCATTTTCCTCCTTGGAACCTCTCAACACTTCCCGGCTACAAGCGTTCAATCCTAATCAACCCAAAAACCTTCCTTCCCTAGAGTCCGTTCCTTCGGTATTTTTCCAGTCCGATTTTGACTTGGGGAATCCGCAGACGTTTGCTCTCATTACAGATCAGGATCAATTTGGCGAGGGTGATCCAACAGTTATTGCTCATTCAGTTCCGCTGCTGGAGAGATTCTCTCACTATGCAGATACTGTCGAGCTTCACCTATCCAACGAGATTGCTGCTCGCGCGCCTTCATTCTTTGCTGCCTTGACCAACCTTCACACGCTTCAATCCGAATCCACCGCGACGTTGTCCCAAATTAGTCGTTTACGCCAAATGCTTGAGCAAGTAGACGAGACTGTGGCAAAGAAGGGTATGGAGGTAATTAGTTTGGAGAAGCGTGTGCAGGGCGTTGAAGAAATAGAAAGAAGTGTCGAAGGCGTGAAAGATGTTGTTAAATTCACTGGAGAAGCCCGAGAGAAAGTCGGAAAGGGAATGTATGGTGATGCGTTAGTCATACTTAGCGTGCTGGACGATATGTGGAATGATGCTTTACCAACCCAGTCTTCACTCCCAAAGCAACCCAGTGGGCGACTTTCATCACTACCACCAACACCAGAGGGCGAAGAAGCAGATTCAGAATCCCCGCCGCCGGGATATTCAACATCTCCTGTCTCCTTGACGCCATCTACATCGAAAATAAAACTCCTTCCTTCATTGGGAATTCCTCTTTCTCAGTTAAACGCGTTCTCAGCACTTCCTAGCCATTTACGAAGTCTTACTCTAGAGATCGCCTCTAGTCTGTCTGATGAGCTGGTTTCAATACTTCGTGATGATTTACTATGGCGGATCGGAAACGGCGGTTCCATTGCGACGGGCTCCGGGAAGGAAACTGTCAGTGAAGAAACGAAGAACCAGCTGACAGAGCTGCTGGTCGGCTTAATCAAAACCAGAGGGTTGAAGGAAGCAACGTTGAGTTATAGAGAAATTGTATTTGACGAATTCAGAGGTCTTATTAGAAAGGTGCGTGCTTCCTATCTATAATATCATCCCCTCATCCTCGACTGCATAGCACTTTTCTGGGTTCGAGGCTGAGTCACCTAGCCCGACACCTACTGATCCGACGCTCAACTACGCTGAAAGGTAGACGGTTCATCACGTTGCTATAGAAATTCTCCCTCACGTTGATCCCGCCCAGACCCCAGCTTGCTACGCATTTGCGTTCTCTTTCTCATCCAGACTTCATGTCTGTCATACGAGCAATATACCGTGATATGCTGAGCGGTGTTGAAGGGCTACATGTCCAAATAGCTTTGTTGGGAGAAATTTCAGAATCTATCGAGGCAACTGAACGCGCTACAAAGGCAGCCAGGCAAGGAAAGTCTATACCAGCTCCAACGCCGTTATCTTCAGAATCGCCCTCATCGGGTGACAGTACTTCCGTCACATCTTTGCTTCTTGCTGAGCTGACAGACACACTCTCGTCTGCGACAGAGCTCGCACACACCCAAGCTGCTCAACTTCTATCATCTCGTTCCGAAATTCATGCCGGTCTCTCACTACCGGAATTTGTGGAATTGTTCAACGATACATGGAAGTTTGTCGTGCGGAGTGAAGTAGTGTGCAGAAGGATGATTGTAGGCTTAAGAGGAGCTGTCGTATCACAGGTTCGCGAGATCCATGTATGATTTGACGATGACCCCTGACGTCTTCGATAGGCGAAGGCATTCTTACAGACGTTCCACCAATCCCGTCTCACCCAGTCCGCAAAACTTGTAGAAGATGAACAATGGAGTCCTCAAGATGTCTCACTCGACATACAAACCACGGCAAATACTATCGTCGATACTGCTATGAAAGATCCTCCTGAACTCATTTTGCCATCAGAAGCAGCGGCACCAACTTCGTCAAACTCTAAAAGTTCCTCAATACTTTCTCCATTCAAAAGTCTCCTGCGGAGTTCTAGTACCACACAAAATGGTAACGGTACAGGTTCCCCTAGCCAACCGGCGGTACCAACTTCCATTACATCCTCGAATTCCAGATCTTCCAGTCGTGGCACAGCTACCAGCACGAAAAAGTCTAAGCACATATACGTTGAATCCAATTCCTTCTTCACCGTCCCCGCCACTTCATCCGTACTCTCCCTATTAACGGATTACCTCGCTGTTATCATCAACCTCGGTATTCTTACAACCGACACAATGTCACGTATCATCGAGTTTCTCAAGGCTTTCAACTCTCGAACATGTCAAGTCGTGTTAGGTGCAGGTGCGATGCGCAGCGCGGGTCTGAAGAATATAACGGCTAAGCATCTCGCACTCGCGTCGCAGAGCTTGTCGATTATGATTGCGCTGGTCCCGTATATTCGAGAGACATTTAGAAGACATCTTAATTCCAAGCAGGCGGTGATGCTAATCGAGTTTGATAAGTTAAAAAGGGTACGTATCTTCTCTTGCTATCCGTTAAAGTCTTGTGTACTAGTACTCTCATTGGGTTGTCATTGCATTCTATTTCTTCATTGCTGTTGCTGCGCAGCTCTCATTAATTTGAAGGACTGAACCTTCTGACCTTTTTTAAACTTTTTTGTGGCTTTTACAGGACTATCAGGAGCACCAGCACGAGATCCATGCTAAACTTATCGCAATTATGGGCGACCGTTTGAGTGCGCACATCAAATCTCTCCAGGCACGTGTGATATCAGCGCTTCTCAATCCCCTTGCATTCCCTTCCTCCCCACGTTTATGAATCTTCTTACGAGCCCCTTATGTTATCTCGGCATCATCTTACTTCTTCAAATGTCTAGACCATAAACTGGAATGTGCCTCCGGCTGGCAGCGGCGTTAACGATTACATAGAACTACTCGTTAAGGAGACCGTCACACTGCACAAAGTCCTATCCAGGTACCTTTCGGCCGCGGTTGTTGAGGTAGACACAGTCTTTAGTTACGTCCCCTTGGAGCACTGATTTTTCTCGATCTTAGGATGTCATGAGCCAAGTGTTCGCGGCAATTAATCACCGACTCTCAGAAGAATATAGCAAGATTGAGCTACCTCACGCTGAAGCAAAATCGAGGTCAGTCCAGAACGAAACAAATTTAGCCGTTTTTGTTTCTGATTATCACTTGTCTCAAGACTTTTGGAGGATGTAAAGTTCCTGCATCAGAAATTGTCAGCTCTAAAAACCATTGGTAAACCTAGCATGATGCTTGAGACTGTCGTTCGGGAAAAACCGATTCCTAAGCTACCAGGCGCCCCACCAACTCCTGTTCGAAATGGCTCAATGATGTCTCCACCAAATAGTGCTGCCTCGAATGCAAGCACGAACCAAAGGCTCAGGGGATTACTGTCAGGCCGTACGACGTCTTATGACAGGTCTTTGCCAAATTTACCTGGACCAAATGATAGGCCTCTGCCTCCCCCTAGATCTAATACTTCTTCACCACATACGGACAGCAGAACGACCGAAAATCCAAGTACACCGACTGTATATCGGTCTCTCAGTCCTAATCCATACCAACGCTCAGATCGTCCTCGAACTCCTCCTCCTCCTCCTCTTCCTATTGATGTTGAAGCCGAAGTACCTTCGCCTCCTCCTGATGGATCTTCTGCTTTTGGCTTCAGGCAGATTGAGGCCTCACACCGGCACCTAGAACCGGCCAATTTCGATCCACCTTCCTCTCCTCGATCACCGCTACTTGCTTCCCCGCAGCACCTCAAGGATCAGAATGCAGTTGTGAACAGCAGACCTTCCCTTCTTGCTCCATATGATCCTATATTATCAGCTTCCACCCCCGCTTTCACCTCTACATCTGAGGCAGTTTCGCCTCCCACTGATGAAACGAATCGTACAATGATCTCAGAATTAGATCCTTCGACGGGGTCTTTGCATGATTCAGCGGATGCTTCAATGCCCACACTATCACTGGCATCATCTCGGGAGATTGAACATCGTTCATGATCCTGATGCCTCCGACAGCCTGATTCAAGTGCAGCAGAGTGTCGGAGGCTAGTTATAGATTTGTTTCGCCGTAACTCAAAAATGAAACCGACGAATCAGGCATAGGAAGGCATAGTCTCGCGAGCTCTGATGTACTCCGTTGTTCATTTGTAGTCTTCCGTGTCGCTTTAGAGTTCCAGAGAATTCACAGTCGTTATCTCCGCTTCCTCTGACCTAATTCTTCGAGATGGAAGAGGCGATCGAATTATAGATTGTGGCATTGCGCGGCTGTGACATGAACAAATTCAGTATATACCTGCCCCTCATATATAGACCTTGCTTCACGCTATCTCTATCCCTATCTAACCCATAGCCGGGAAGTTGTTGGGTAGCTTGGCTACCCCTAATCCTTTCTGTATAGAACGTCTGGGTGGTGTCCTTTTTTCTTCGAGGTGAATATTGCCCATGTCTATAGTATCCACTTGTACGGGACAGCTTTCATATTCAAGTGGTGTCGAATCAAATCAGGACGTGTCTAGAGAATGGCGAGTGACTCCAAAGTTGAAATTCTTGCGCAATAACAACGGAACGTTGACGTGTTTAAGTAGTGGCAATACTTACAGGGGCTCATATAGGCCATCGGGAAGTCGAAGCACGAGTGCGGCTTTGCGGGGGAAGGTGCTGAAAACAGGATGGCGGCATATCTTACTGGAGCATACCGAATGTCCAATCCTATGATAATAACAGTGTAAATGACACCCATATATAGGAATCAGGATGTGTAGATCCAAATAACTATGTTCATTACTATATTGGGATTTTCTCTTCCCCGAGGACCTACGTTAACAGCAACCAAAAGTATCAAAGTAATGACTATAGATTCTGAGCTCACGGTAATCGCAGTCGCCATTGCCATTCACAACTGTCCAGACTCTTCGGACCGTTCGACCTGGTTCCTCCTGATTCCTGTACAGGCTACGAGGTGTAGGACTGGCGAATTTCCTGATCCTAAACCCTCAAATGACCGTACTGGGCTGTTCCAATACATTTTTTTCTTCATCCGCATCGAGCTGTTAGGTCCGAAAGACCAGGATTAACTAGTGTACTTTCAAACCGTATCTGTAACTTGTTCATCGAATTAATTTTGACGATGAATGTTCAATATTTTGATGATTACATACCCCCGAGTCCGAGTATTAGCGGGCTGTCCTGGAGCTGTCGGCTTTCAGTACATGAATTAATTCTCTTCGCGACAAAGTATTCGAGGAGTTTTAAGGCATAAATCCGATGTTTCCGTTGTTACTAGGGTCTGAATCAATCGCCTTATGTTATGAGCCCATTATTGGAATCAGCCCAACTGGATTAAGGTGTGTACTAGAACCTGGCTCTGTTGCCAATAGACAACAGTGGAAAACTCATACGACTACCCACTGTTGCCACAATTTACAAGGATGCTGTCGTAATTTTTACTCATTGAGCCAAGCACTACTAAATCGAGACCGTGATGGGAATGAAATGCAAGTGAGCTGAGGTCACTTAAGGTAACATTTAACAACAGCCAACAGCTCTTAACCTGTGCCAGATCACGACGAGCGGAAAAAGATTGAGACCCGCTGTTTATTCAATCACAATCCCAATTCAGACGATGGTGATATTACGCCAACAATACGTTAGACGGACAAGTACAGGCCAAGTAGTAACCTTTAGGGAAAGGAAAGGAAACTTTATAACCCGTACGGCGAGTCCTCAAGCGATTTCACAACTGACCGAATAGAAACGAGAAATCACAGAAAACTCGAATCACATTCAAAACAGCGCTTTTGATTTTGTACGCCGCTGCTCGCTCACGCGTGTCGAATGCGGCGAGTCGATAAAATTATTGATGTGATTCTGCAAGAATCATTATCATGTATGTACGTGATGGAGGCTCTTGAAGGGCGCCTTGAGGGGCTCGCCTGAGCTAAGTATCGTACCCTATATAGGAACCTATAGTCTTCCATACATATTGTATACTCACCGATACCATTGTTCGCAAATTGGGTTAGTGAACGTAAGGAAGGAAAGAATAAATGTATAAGGAGCCGCATAAATATTGGGGGTTGATCGTTGATAGAAAAGTTATTCGACGTACACATACACTTATCTGACTCGAATCAACAGACCCTGACACAGTAGATCAACTCGAACAATGAGAACCCACGTTTTTGACTGACAATATCCTGGGATTGTGAAAAGGGAGAAGACAAAGAAGAAGATATCAGCCAATAGTCTATACATACACATAATTACCGTTTAGGAAACCTAATCGGTCACACCAGAACGAAGACTCGCTAGTTGGATGGAACGAATCTAGAAGGTGGAGAGACTGCGGCGTGATGCAGATTGCTGGAGGAAACTGGGCCCGAACGATTGTGACCCTACCAGTCTGGCTTGTCGGTTCCTATCGTTTGGCTAGTAGTAATCGCATAACATTCGTGGTGCATTCCGTGAGGTTGAGAACCACCACAATGATATCAACTTACCACTTCCATAACGGCTATTGAGGGCCAAGCCAATTGATTCGAGTCCGAAACATTGGCAGGACAAAACATGCATGATCCATACAAGAGATATTTCACGGATAAACTGACGGAAAGTCTTGTGCTTGGGAAAGATTTCGGGGTTCTGTTAGTATCATTTGGTGCATGAGACGAACTATGACCTTGGGGAAGGCGAAGAAACGCATCGCGTGCTGTATGACGAGCGGGGTAAGAGTGCACATTTGTACGTTACAGAATTGAGTCAATGAAAGATGCATACGAATTCCGGAAAAGATTCGGGCGGCGGACACTAGACATCAATAGTCTAAACTTGGTGCGCATTGCAAGCCAGAACAGTGCTAGAACAGTGTCCCTGTGAGTGAAAGAAGGACGGCTTGATGGCGATGATTGGCAGGCAGGCTCTTTTAGAAGGACCTTGACGGCTTGACCGACGTCCGGAAAGGTACTCTCTAATTTTGTCGTGATCAGATGAAGAATCAGACAATCCAGGGAATCGCGAATACTGTTGATGTTTTTCTGTGGGGCAATAACGGCCAGACAAGTTTGTTGGGGAACATCGAGAGCAGTCATGGGTCCCTGATGAAAAGGTAGTGATTGACCCGGGGCGGAGGATATCAGCAATGCGAGATAGCATACGTAGAATAGAAACATGAAGGTTATGGTGTGAAAGAAAACAGGATTCCGTGTGACACACTAACTCACCATCATAACGGAAACGAATGGCGGGTTGAGTGAAGGTAAGAAAAGATGCCACTACCTGTAACGTAGGATCAAAGTTTCAAACTCGCCTTCACCTTAGTTATACAATGATACATGAGACGAAGAGAAATGTACTTAGCAGTAGAAGGGAGTCAAGGTGCTGACAACGCAGACGTGAAGGAATTTCATCGCCACAAACATTGGGATATTGGGATGGCAACCAAAAAAATAGAACGCGACGCCTGCAACGACGCGACTTCCTCGGTCACCAGTGAAGTCATCATATAATGTAATCTCGTTTGACAGTCTCGTGCTCCCGTGATTTGTGACAGTGACGAGCCTTCGTGCATTTCTGTGGAACCACCTAGGTAGATATGTAGCGTCAAAGAGCGTCAAAGTAGCGCACACAATCGGCCTGAGAGAATTAGACGAAAGAACGTGTACGACAAGCATTATGAAGGCGGTATTTCAAACGTGTGATGGCGTGATAACTTACAAGAGGCGGGAAATTTGTCTCTTGAATGACTCGATCCTGAGAAATTGAAGATTGTCGAAATTCGGAACAGACGAAACGTTGCAAGTTGGAGAGTGTACGGTATATCAAGCCGGAAATCTAGGTGACTCGGTCAAAGAGTTGTTGCGCGCCCAATTCAAGGTGAGAAATCCTGACTGAGTTGACTCGTGAGAAATTCAAAGCGAGATTTAAAAAATGTGATTTGCCTAACTGTCACATAGTCACAGATTTAGTCGAACAAGGGATCGAGATTTACATCTAGATCCCGACCCAAATTGGCGCCCTGACTCGTACAAGGCTCTTTAAAACGGCAGGCCTCTCTTTGATTCATCCTCCCATCATCCAACAGTTTTTCTCTTGAGCTCGTCGGTGTAAACGACGTCCACGTATCCTGATCATGTTTGAGGAAATCTGCTTAACTTGCGGTAAACATCTTTCGGACGATGGGTACGTACACCCGCCCTGCATTTTTCTTTCATGTACTTAAAATGTGCTTCGCATTTCTTCTAGGCGTGTATATTGCAGCGACGAGTGCCAAAACATCGATACTGCTTCGCCGTCTATTTCTTCTGCGAGCAGTGCTCTTTCCTCGCCACGTTTTGGCTATGCCATAGGCGGTGAAGTTCCAGCACTGGTATCATTGGCGTTAGGCAAAGCATTGAGAGGTTATCACACCAGAGACCATCACTCTATCTCTTCATCTGCTTCTTCCACCTCATGCTCCGTTCTTACCGACGAAGAAGATGAGGATTCACACTTCGTCTCCGGTAGCGAAGGAGCTTATCAGGATGAATATGCGGAAGGAAAGTCAAAATCCTCAGGCCTTTACCCGGTATTACGAGCACCTCTTTCCTATGCTCGACGACCTTCTGGTACAAACAACGTACACGCTGCACCCCATGTCCTTGGTCGTGTACCTACTTCTGCTTCTACTTCCGGGCACGTGTATAGTGCACCTCGGAGCGCACCTATCCATTCCCATTCCCAGTTATCTACGGATGATGAGACCTACTCTGATTTCGGAAGCCCAAGCCGAGATGAATTGGATTCTTTTACCTCTCTCACAACCCCCGACGAGGATCAAAACAGGTCTACAATAACAAAAGCGAAACGTACTCGCAACCGTGCCAGTTTACCCGCCTATTTTTCTTTGTTACAAGTATCCAGCGACGCCCAACCGCGTGTATCCCTTTCTGTCTCTAACTCTTCGGGTCATTCGGTAACGCGTCCATCTCCTCCTACCCCAAAATTGACGATCGCCGGTATGCCTATTCATCCGTCCACGGCTCCACCCGCTGCCGTCATGCAAGCGACACCTCGTGGACGTCGAAGGGACTTGGAAGCCTCCCGAAGTACTCGTGTGTCTAGTAACGACAGCTCATCCTCTAGGTCTCGTGCCGAAAATCCTTTTGCGCCACCTGCTACCGCTTCCGAAGCATTTCGCTCCCAGCTGAGCAGCAAAGGGAGCAAGAGTAGCATGGAAAAGATTCTTGACTGGACTGCTGTATCCGGTCTATCTCGTGGTCGGGCAACCATTAGACGAAACAGTTCTCCACCACCAAAGATGGTTTTGACTGCAGATACGGAGCAGTTCAACATTGTTTCAAGGGGACGAAAGGCAGATTCAACTAGTCGTCTAAGGAGTAGAGGGCGTGTCATGGTATCTGAACTCGATGGTGTGATTGTCAACAAAGAAGCTCCTGGGTTTGGCCATGGACGTAGTGGGTTGCTTCATAGAGAGCAGGCAATATCTCAACGTTTTATGAGTGGCAAGCCGTCTTTTTGATTGTGCCCCGTTCGCCAAAATCTGCCTTGTTTCTGTCAACGCCTTCTCCGAAAATTCATCGCACTTTTTCCCTGTCTAATCAATCAACAAATTGCACAATTTCGCATGCTCTCAAACTCCGGACCTTTTCTCTTCTTGCATCGCCCTCTGTATTAGAACGCATCTCAAGTTTTCGTCGTCATCATCATTCATCGGCATATATCCATCTCGGCAATAATTATTCGACTTCACAATCGCAACGCAACGCCTTTCAGCTCGCATTAACAACCAACCTATCAATTACCATTAACAAACAAACACCCAACTTCTCCATCGTCTCCATGCTATATAAATCACCCTACTTCGAAAATTATACCTATTCCTTCGCTGTTTTCCTTGTGCTATCAACTCATTTGCATCGTCGTTTCGTCGCTCTTAACCAAAGTCGTAGAAAATAGGAAACCCGTTCTGTATCCACTACATACATATCATTTTCGTATTCCGCGTTCTCCACCAAAAAAAATCTGGGGATTGCCTCATATTTTCGCTTCACGTCTTCACTTCGCATACACAGTATCGCCTACATTAGCCACAGCAAACAATCATGAAAATTCATAGCTATGTAACTCATCCATTACTTTGTGCTCATATGCCGTGGTGTTACAGGTGTTAACCCGGGGGCAATACGGCAATCATCCACGTGAAAAATTCTTTCCGCCCACATCGATGTCCATTTACATAGATGATTTACGATGACTACTGTCCTTTTTATGCGTTTTCTATTCCCGCCGCTACACCTCGTTATGGAAGGTAATCCTTGTGCGATAAGAAATTCGAAAGAAATCCCTTGTTTTTTTTTCGGATTAGAGCCATTCTTCAAAATCATCCGAGGTCGTTGTTACTCCCCGTGTTACACGCGCGTGTCGCGCAAGACAATTGTCCAGAACCAGGTACGCAATGTATATCTCTTGATTATTCCTGGCTCTATCTCCAAGTTCCAATGCTTGGCTAGGGCCTCTCTTCTATCAATCGGTCCTGGCCATGAACATGTTCATTCGTGATCTCGGCTCAGAGCTGGTTCCAGTCTTCCATCGTAAATTAATTCGTCGTACCATCTTGCATTATGGAACATCTTTTTCCTAAGTTTCCTTTCACTATATCCGGGAATTTTGACTTCCGGGAACCATGCTGAACCATGCCCTGACTCGTTTTTAGATGCCATGATTACCGGTGTCCGTCCAAATCCAAAACACTAGCTGTCGATTCTCGAAACATAACGCCCAACTCGGAATCCAGTCTCATCGCCTCTCGCCGTCAAAACCTTGTAGAACCCGACTCGATTGGCTTTCACTGATTTGCCATTCTGACAAAAAATCGACGGCCCTCGAACTCGTCCGGAAACGTTCCCGAAGTTTATCTAGGTGTCAGGACGACCGATGATACCTCTCGGTGTCACAACGAGCTGCACACCTTTCAAGCGCGTTGAGTAGTAATACCGGTACGAACTTATATTCTGTCACGTATGTTCATTGAGTCACAGACTGTTGAAATCGTCCTTTCGACGCCTCTAACGCATCAAGCATTATGATATGATATTACTGTATCGCATTGGGATGGCGCGATATCAGGTCTCTTCCTTAATAGTCTGACATTCGTAATAACGCCATGCAGCGCAAGACCCTTCGATTATAAGCCGGTTTTGCGTAGCTCGCTTCCACTGTGCCACGCCATAAAATTGTACAGAACCTTGTGGAACGATAAGAACTATGTAAGCCGACGTATACCTTAGTTACCGACGTTGGCGAGTCTTCCTTTGAATTTTAGGCTCATCACTCATCATGATGTTTTTATGAACATATAGGTCAGATATTCATAACATGCTATGTCACCGTATGTCGCCCTAGTCTCTATATCTACATGATAGATATTCCTATCATGGGACCAACGATATCGGGACTAGTCTAGGACTAGATATTATTGTCGGTTCAGGAAGGTTAATCGCAAGGTACATCCCGGTACATCCAGAATGAGACTGGCGGTGGTAGGGATCATCTTTGGTACATCAAAACTCCCTCTAGGGAAAGTTTGTCACTCCGACAATGACAATGACACGTCCACAGGGTCTATCTCCACATCCACAGGTGATTAGTCCGAAATTCAAGTATAAGGTCGACCTTTTCTAAATCTGTTGCGCACAATGTGAAAGGATTCATAGCCGGCTTAAGGCTCTGCGACAAGCTATAGCTCTGGTCAGCGGGTTTGTATCCCTTTGTCTTCTGTTGCAATGGCCGGAACTGAAGTGCTTCCGAGTCCAAATTCACTGGTCCATATACAGGGACTAGTGAGCGTAATGGGTGGGTTTCCTCTGCCATTCTTGACCAGACTTGACAAGGATATTGGAAGATCTCCACGGCTCTCTTTCGAATGCCATCCCGTATCTTCGATCTCTAGATTGGATGCAAAACTCTAACACTAGCCAGTGCAGAAACCTACCGGGATCCTTCCCGAGGGACAACGCTAAGGAAGGTTTCGGGAGTCTAGATGAAGATTCGGATGCTTTCCTGTCTGAATTGGTGTACGAGTTCGTTGCTTTGCTCGCAAGCCTGGGAAGAGCAACTACAGGCTGCGCCCCTAATATTCGACTGACTCTCTGTTTGCCTCTCCCACTTGGATGCCCATACAGGTCTTTATGTGTCCCAGGGCCCAGACACAATCTTTATGTGAGGCTGAACTGCGGGGAAGTCCTACAATCAAAGAATGCAAGACTCAAGTTACCGATTGTTCGTAGTTCGCACTACGATCACGAGATGGACCGCCAGTTCCCTATTCAACATCAGTGTCTGCAGCTCTCTTTGGCATTCCGTATTTACGGATGGTCAGTCTGCAAATTGGTTGATAAAGAAATGGTCGTTATTGTCGCCCGACTGTTTGTCACTGGGAGAATTTTAGAGTATTGTTCTCGCACCATAAAACATAGTTCTTGTAAAGTGTTATAACAACTTCTTGTACTGAACTTAGTGGAAATAGAAACTGTGCGAAATCAACTGACAACTTGAAACGAGGCTTCTGAGCTTACCGACATCGCGTGTACCCTAGGCGAATGCACTGAAAGAATAATCCTTCACGCAGCTCTTCTCAAGAGACTATCTCTTTCCTAATTTTACACGGCCACCATTGATTCTACTCTCACAAATATTTCCCGGCCTTCCCCTCGGGAGCCGTCGTCTTCAGTGACTTCCTCTTCCAGTCTGGAATCTTCACCGGTCCAGCTGACGTCCTCAGCGCCAGTCTCTTCTACTCATCCATTACCACCAGCAGCATCCCCAAGTCTTATTCCGACGACCAGGACAAGGTCTGAGCTGGAGAATCCAGAAAGCAGTAGCAGTGAATCGCTCTTATCTGCTCCCCCCATCGGTACCGTTCTTACTCTAAAACCTTTCTGTTTCACGAATGACTAAGTCTATTTACTTTTTTATCCTTAGACGTCGAATCACCCAGAGCTCGCAAGAGACTAAGAATCGACAGCCCTATCCCTTCTACATCTTCCATCTATTCTCAGTCACAGCTCTCTGCCCGTGTTCCGAATATGCGCCTTACTGAATCAAATGAAGCATCATCTTTCAACTTGCCCAGTTCTGTGACTTCTGGACTTTCTTCAAATGGCATAGATTTTTACTCTACCAGTAATGGTCGCAGTACTTCGACCAACGGAAATGGCTTTATGTCACATTACACCAACGGGCACGGTGTTTCTGGAGCTGGAATGAGCGGAAGCAACGGCGTAGTGGCGGAGAAACATGGCAAAGGCGCTCCTTCTCGAGTCAATCTCCCTGGACATCTATTGTACGAGGATTCAAATGTGGACAGAGAGGAGTTTGTTCGATTGTTGCTGCAGAGTTTAAGAGATGTGGGTTATACGTGAGTTTAGACTGCGAATATCGTCCCAAGCACTTTACTAATTATAACGCGTCAATGTCTTCCGTCAGTGAGTCAGCAGCTACGTTAGAGGCCGAGTCAGGGTATTCAATGGAGGAACCGCAGGTCAAACGATTTAGAGAGTATATAGTGAGCGGAATGTGGTCAAAGGCGGAGGATGCACTGCTGCGGTTAGGCATAGTAAACGAGGATAATTTATGGGTGCGTGGAATCTCTTTTGCTTTAGGCTCATTTTATTGACTTTGACATACTCTAGGATGCCAGATTCTTAATAAATAAGCAGAAATATCTAGAGCTTTTGGAAGTCCAAAAAACTACCGCTGCTCTCCATGTATTACGAGCTGAACTAGCACCATCATGTCCTGAACCCGCTCAATTGCATGTATTGTCAAGGTCTGTGTTGTTCCTTGCTATCATCAATCATACTTGTTGATTTCCCGTATAGTTTGATGATGTGCACTGAGCCGGAAGACGTTCGACAGCGCGCAGGATGGGACGGTGCCTCGGGTCAATCGAGACACCAACTGCTCCTGGACTTACATCGTATGTCGACATTCGGATTGCTCCATAACTAGGTTCTATCAACTTTCTTTCCGTTTAGGTTTCATTCCCCCATCTATCATGATTCCACAACGAAGGTTTCTCACCCTTCTACAACAAGCACACCAAGACCAACTCCGACGATGCATATATCATAACACACCCCTTGAATCAACGCCACTCTCGTTATTCAGCGATCATGAGTGTAATAAGGACGGCTTTCCTGGAGTTACAACAACGGTATTACAAGGGCATGTGGATGAGGTTTGGAATGTGGAGTGGAGTCATGATGGCACTTATCTTGCAAGTGGAAGCAAAGACAAAACTGCCATCATATGGTACATGGGGGTGAGTCCAACGATATCATAATCCAACATACGGGTGACTGAGTTTTGTGTTCCTGCAGCCAGATACAAGGAAATGGGAAGCACACTTGATCCTTAGGGATCATCCATTTCCCGTGCACAGTATAGCATGGTCATCAGACGATTCCATGCTGCTCACAGGCGCCGAGCATTTCATCAAATTATGGGACGCAAAGGTTCGTCCACTGTTTCGATTCAATACAAACGTTCATATCCTCTTTCCTGGTATTCAGACGGGTTCCTGCATTCGAACAATGGATGAGCACACCGAGACCGTGACAGCTCTCTCGTGGCTTCCAGATGGTTCAGGCTTCATATCAGGGGCATTAGATCGCAAGATTATACAATGGGTAGGTCTATTGCTCCGCAAGCCTGCTGTACACTGCTTACATTGTGCAGGATGCGGAGGGCAAGAAAAAGCTCTCATGGGGCCTGACAGATATACGGGTTACAGACCTCGCCGTTACACCAGATCTCTCACGCGTGGTGACTATCGGAATGCATGTTCCAACTCCATCGGAGTCTTCATCACTGAGAGGAGCCCGTAATAGTGGTAGTTCCGGCGATGGTACGACGTCAAACTCAAGTGGGAATCCCTCGTCAGTGAATGGGATAGCACCTACTGAGAATAGATTTGTCATATACCAATTATCAACAAGACAAGTAGAGTCGTAAGTTTCAAATTTTGTTATCACTCTCTGTATAGACTCGGTCCTCCTGCCTTCCATCGGACCTCCTTGCCTGAGAAATCACTCCCTTTGATGTTTCTCATCCCAATTCTATCACAGTTCCATCAAGTTGGACGGTGAGCTTACGAGCGTGAAGGTTTCGCAAGATTCCCATTACGCCCTAATAAACCATTCACCCGATGTGAGTTCTTTCAGAGCTATTTGCTATCGTACTCTCTCACTGATGTAAATCATGCAGGAGATCCAACTGTGGGACCTTCGTCTTGGTCGAATGGCTCGAAAATTCACAGGTCAACGACAAGGTCGACACATTATCCGAAGCTGCTTCGGTGGGATCGATGGTAGTTTTGTTGTCAGTGGCAGTGAAGGTAGTTCTGCATAACATTTTGCCTTTTATGAACACTAAACTATTCATAGATGGAAATGTCTATGTATGGCATCGCGAGACTGGCTCTTTGCTCGAAGTTCTGTCTGGACATGGGGAAGGGAGTGTGAACTCAGTGGCATGGAACCCGGCGAATGAGCGCATGTTTGCGTCGTGCTCTGATGATAAAACTATCCGCATATGGGAGGCACCCAAGCCCGAGACGAGTCTAGACGTGTCAGGGCATACCGACTATCCGGTATCCTACAATGGGAAGGGGAAAGGAAAGACACGCCAGGTGGATGGGGAGGCAGAGAACGCCGGAATGGCAAGTCCTTCTACGCGATTGTGAACACAAACTGTGCGCCGAGCGTGACTCTTCGTTCAATACCAAGATAAAGGCGATCTAACGTCGTGGGTGCACTGATGAAGATTCTACACGTTCCTTGCGCAGCAGCTTTGCTTTGCTTTCTTTTTTCTATTGTCCTAACTGACATTCCTCCCCAATTGTGCATTTCTTCATCTCTTGTTTTTTTTTTTTCGCATCGCATTACACCAATCATCTCGTTATCAACAGTATAGTACATAGGTTTTGTATCATTCTACATCATTCTTTCTGCCATTTCTGTTCTCCAACTTACATCATAAATGAATGTCCTCATTAGAGAATCATAGTGCACCTGGGTAGGGAGTCCGTACTGTGCAAATTCCATACCGGTAACTGTATCTAATTACGAGTATGCAATACTTCACCTGGGATTCAACATTGAACGTACTGAATACGGGTACTACATCTATCCACATACATTTTCTCACCCTCTAATGAATTTGCTTAGTGCTACAAGTACACGATAATGGGGTGAGATTACAGCAAGTAAATGATAAGAAATATACGATACATATACCAGTAAAGCTCCTGAAAACTATATTACTAGGTACGGAATGATGATGAGAATCCATTGCGAATAGAAAATAATGCGCTGAGTGTGATGATGAAATATAATCTAGCGTGCGCGCTGTGAGTAGGCGCGGTGTTTAGGGACAAAAAGAGACGCCATAGGATCCTTTTTGGCCAAAGAAAACGATTTGGGAAGAGGGGGCACGATTTCAGGGGTTGAAATTGGGGAATTCTGTGGAGTGTGCTTTCTGGTTATTGCATCGTTTCTTGAAGAAGACAAGGACCGATTTTCGGCTCTCCAAGTAGAAGGAAGAGCCACAGGCTTTGAGGGTGAAGCATTCAAGGTCTTGGACGGCAATGCGGCGGGCTCCGACGAGCTCGCACTTGAGGATGAGGGGCGTCGAATCACCGTGTTAACAACAACACGGGTTGAATACTTGGATTGTGCGGGTAGGGGAGACCTGTTGCTGATACTCCCAGTCGGGGAATAATCTTTCCCTTTGAGCATTGGAGGGATCATACGGGTATGATACATGTTCTTCTGAAGTTTGGATGCTTCTGATCGTGTCTTTTGGAAGAGGGTCTTGGATGGAGCAGACATGTTCCCTGATAAGGAATGGCAAACCGTTAGCTAATGTGTACGGAGACGAAACATGACTTACACCCTGTGCGCTGGCGCTTTGGGGGTGGTAAGCGATCTGTGAGCTTGATCTCACGTTCCTTCTTACGCTCATCTGCTTCAAGGCGTTGTAGACGTAGACGAGACCCCACTTCCTCTAACCTTGTAGCCTCCGCTTCCCGCAAAACCTGATTGATGTAAGCTTGAGTATGTTATCATGGCGCCTACAACTCACGAAGAAACGTGACCTCCATGAGTCCGGAGAAGTATCGGTCCCATCTCCATAGCGTTCTACCATTGCAGGATATGTTCGTCGACATAAGGCCCTCCAAAGTTCTATGATGAAGCCATCGAATGAGATGCGGGTATAAACGGCGCAAAGACATACCTTCGGAGTCTCTCTTTAAATGCTAGTAGATAGTTGTCCGCATTAGCATATCTCAAGAGCATATATGACACGACAACATACTGGAGAAGCGTCTTCTACCCGCAGCAATTGTTCCGCTGAGCAGCGGTCAAGAATTGGTCGGACCAAAGTAAATGGTAGCTCTCCAAGGCTACTGATGGCTGCACGAGGTCAGCCGTCTTGGGGTCATCCAAGATGGAAGGTTACGCACATTCAATATAGTTTCCCGCAACTGTTCAGCAAATTTGGGTTGTTAAAGATTGGTCTAGGCGAGAAGGTAAAAGTGAACCCCTACCTCTCTGGCAAAGTTGGACAAGACTTTGAATACGCTTATTGGGTCCAGCTGAATCATTTCCAGGAGACATGGTGGTCCTGTTTCAATTTGGAGGATGCGTAGGTGCGTTGTGTGCGAGAATACTGGTGTCAGAGACTCTGAAGCTTGGAACCTTGGTGTGTGAAGGAAGATTAGCGCCAGAGCCACGTGGAACGTCGAAGGTCACGCATAGATTCAGAATGAACATCATGATCAGAATCTGGGTTATACTTCGAAGTTCGAGATCCTGAATGGCAGCAATATTAATGTTCAACCATAACTATGACATACGCTGCAAACTTAAGGTTGAATTTCTATCGCTCAATCCCAAAGAATCTGGCCTTGTTATCCTTCGAGACCGCATATCTCCTCCGGCCTCTGACGGTAATGGTTACCTTTGAATCACCTTTAGACATGGAATCTCTGGGTCGGACGGTACGAGAAACACAACTGTAGGTACAAACTTCAGCCCCCGAATCTATCGATACCCACACTGTTAACACCTCCCCCTTCGAGTCAAGGATCCGACATAATGGTTCTTCTACTGATGAGTATTTTTAAAGCCGATCGACATCTACCCTTTTGATATCTGTCCCACCACATGGATTTTCAGTCAACACAGATAATAGGCGTACAGTTCGCCGGTTTCGGTTTCTATCTCGAGTGCAAAATACCGATTCTTAGCCATTACCCTCGCACTCACCCGGGGACAGTATATATAAGTTGTAGCATATCTTCGTGTTCGTCATAATCCTCTATACGCGCCTCAGTTGACTAAATACCTTCATTAAAAGGCATACGGATATGCAACAAGCCACTCACCCACGTCTACATGTCCGCGATGCGCGAGATGCACACGCTGTGTTCGAAGCCGTTCGCCAAGGTCTTTTGCGACCTGCTGTTCGTCGACTAAACGAAGTTGAACGGTCGATGCATGTACGCTCGGGGTCCGTTTTTGTTTGGGAAGAATGTGACGATGAGTCTGGATTGAAAAGATGGACAGGTATAGTGCTTCCACCACGAATCCTGAACAAAGACAATCTAACTTCTCAACTTAGATGGACGCGTCTGGGGTCAGTCGAGAATGCGGGAGGTAATCATCTACAAATCTAATTTCTATGTACATGCTCAATGACCGCTCAATAGCCATACCTATTTTACGATGAAAAGCTTCCTTCCGATGGAGGCTCTCCAGAACAAAGTCAAAGGTAATTCCATATCTTCTTTTGATGGGGTTTTATTCAATTTCCTGACCACCTTCTCGTTTTAGGCACCCTAATTTTCGCTTTGTGGAAGGCCCTACACGCGTCACTCATACTTCTTCTGCATTGCTACATCAGGATCGAAGCGGTGGAACCCACACCGGACTGATAAAACAAGCATACTCTGCTTGGGTTACGCTTTCCCCGAATTCAAAACCTCGAAAATGGCATCTTACAGCTTATTTTACGTATTCCGACCTCCCATCGATACCGACAATTGACCGTGATCCAATTCTCTCTAAAATTGCGGTTCCTTCTGGGATATACCACGGAGGGAAGACGAGATCCAAAAGCGAAGACGACGGAGCCTACAGCGCTGTAAATCCGCCTTCCAGCCGGCCCAAAACACCGGCGATACAAAGTTCTACCGTTCATGGGTCTGCGAGTGCGACATCCTCCGCCTCTTTGCCCTCTTTCCATTCCACTGTGGGACCTTATGCTCTAAATCCTCGGTCAGCCTACCCTCAAACAGGGAGCAGGATGTCGGAAGACCATCGTGTCATACATATGCTTAATTCCAGGCATATATCCTAAAATTTCCTTTTTTCCTTGGGATTCTTCTTGGGAAACTCGGGCTTGCTGGGGCTTGCTGTACTGATAACACATATCTTGTATCATTGTGTCCTTATACAACTCTTATTCTTAGAGTGCCTTTCATATATGCGATCTTGAGCAGTACTTATACTATGCATTTTGTTGTGATACCTTGTATCAGTATTTAATTCTATCGTGGGTCCAGTTCAACCACACTCGAAAATTAGATTTTCTTATCGCTCCTTCAAGTTTGAGCGGTCCCATAACCTACATAAGTCTACTCGTTGATATTCGGTGGTTATAGTTATGTTGCTATTGTTGAAGTGCTGAGTAATAGATGATCATTTTACCTTCTCGAGGACTCTCAGTGCACTCATTGCGAGCGAAGCGAAGCAATACTGGCTAGAGGGCTGAACCGGGAAGTAAACAAATACAAATTGTTGTCGCGCAAACTCCCACGGAGTCGGAATACCCGCGGATGTGTACGGATGAGCGGATGCTGGGGCGGGGAGCTGTTCCTTTTTAAGTAGTAGTGCTCTGTAGCCCCGTAACAAAAACAATCATTTAATTAATCATGATCAAACATAGTACGGAGGTGCGCCAGCACCGACCAAGACTATTGGATCTAGCACTTCGAAGCGAGCACCCCATGTGAGCCGGACGAAGGAGGCTCACATGCGAATAGATGCGAATGCATGTTAGCTTGTGAGTCCAGTAGCGGATATCAGCGGATATCAACCCGTTCCGACCCGTTCCCAATTCGGCGCACGTGCACCGCTCCGACATTATTTTTTTTTGCGGTGTCGCCACAGTTTTTAGAAAATGTCTTCTCTGTCAGCCACGTTCGCAATATTTCTTCTCTTGAGATACCCTGAGCAAGTAAGCTTCGAGTCGTTATTTTAAATCGTCGTTAATCGTTCCGATACTCTCAGTGTGCGGTATCCTAGGTTTACTTTTACACGATTCGACCATCAATTGTGCGCCAGAGATCTGTGAAGGGCTTTCTCTACTACAGCATAGAGGTCAAGATGCCTGCGGGATCGTTACTTGTGGGCCCAAAGGTCGCTTCTATCAATGCAAAGCCAATGGCATGGTCAGAGATATATTCGATGAATCTTCAATCCGAAAATTGATCGGTGGAATGGGAGTTGGCCATGGTGAAGTTCGCACTTCTTACTCTAAGATTGTTCCTGATCGGCCCTGCCTTTAGTTCGATATCCCACTGCTGGGAGTTTCAACAATGCTGAAGCTCAGCCTTTTTATGTCAATTCGCCATATGGTATAGTTTTTGCCCACGTAAGTGTGCGTCGTTCATTTCGTTGCTGGATACTTACGCATCAATAGAATGGAAACTTGATTAACACGACTTCTTTGTTGCAATATATGGATGCTACGGCCCATCGCCACATCAATACTTCGTCGGATTCCGAGTTGCTACTTAACATCTTCGCCAACAACCTTCAACAGACCGGAAAATTCCGAATCAATGAAGAAGATATATTCACAGCTATCGGCGGGATGATGAAGCAAGTCAAGGGTGCCTATGCTTGCGTTGCAATGCTGGCCGGCTTTGGAATCATTGCATTCAGAGATCCGAACGGTATTCGACCAGTAGGAATGGCAGTGAGAAGGACGGAAACTGGGAACGACTATCTTTTCGCGAGTGAAAGTGTTGTAGCTGATGCCAGTGGATTCACTGACTGGGATGACGTGAAGCCAGGTTCGTTTCGTTCTTCTTGAAGCTACTACGCACATCAACGATTTGCATGTAGGAGAAGCGATCATCATTACTCGAACCAGCATCTCCCGGCGGCAAGTCGCTGAACCTGCTACTTTCGCTCCCGACATCTTTGAATATGTCTATTTTGCCCGACCCGATTCTGTTCTAGATGGCGTTAGCGTCTACCGCAGCCGTATGGCCATGGGTGATATGCTTGCCGAAGAAGTGAAGCGCGTTCTGAGCAAAATGGATCTCTCGGTGGATGTTGTTATACCTGTATTGTACCATTTACCCTGTCAGTCAACGGGAATTCATCTCAACACGTTACACAGGTCCCTGATACTTCAAGAGTAGCAGCGTTGAATTTAGCTCAGAAGCTCAATCTTCCGTACCGTGAAGGATTCATCAAAAACCGATATGTAGGCAGAACCTTCATCATGCCTGGTCAGCAAATGAGGTGAGGCGTACTCAATCGTGAATTCGTGCTTGAACTTATCTTGATTTCAGGAAGAAAAATGTTCGTCGAAAGCTTAACGCCATGGCTCTTGAGTTCTCTGGACGCAATGTACTTTTAGTGGACGGTAAATCCCAGGGATCATATCTCACACTATGACTGATCGTGGTTTTCAGATTCGATCGTGCGAGGTACAACTTCGAAAGAAATCATACAAATGGCAAAGGATGTCGGGGCGAAAAAGGTTATTGTTGCAAGTTGTGCTCCTCCAATTCGGTCAGTGCTACTTATACACCTTTTTGGCTTTGTTTTCTCAATCATTTCAATAGATATCCAAACGTTTATGGTATCGATATGCCTTCACGGTCAGAGCTGGTGGCGTACGGCCGTAAAGAGGAAGACGTCGCAGAGGCCATAGGCGCAGACTTGGTCATTTTCCAAACCCTTCCTGATCTCATTGAGTCTGTAAGGCACTTGAACCTGAGCATCAAAAGATTCGATTGTTCTTTATTCGATGGCGACTATGTGACAGGTGGTGTTGACGAAGCCTATTTTTCTAAACTTGAAACATTACGCGCCGACAACGTTAGGGGCAAGGCTGCAATGATGAGTGGGGATCTCGGTCCGGCGGAAGGTAAAGGTGGAGGAGGGGCCCCACCAATGAATGGAATAACTGAAGACGTGGTGTCTATTGGAACCATGAACGGAGATGATACTGTTGGACTGCACAACACATGGAAGCGATGACGCGCCTCCTCACGTGCTTCTTTTTCTTGTCTCTTTTCGCTATCATATAGCTTGACGTAACTTAACATATTGGCCATAGATCACCATAGACCCAAATACCTTTCCCTCCTCTTTGTGACTTATCTTTAGTAACTACATGTATATGTATATCTACTATCTATATCTTCAGAGTTTCGTTTTTTTGGCTACCGAAGACGGTTTGTTACGCCTACACAAATTTGGGTCGCTTCATCATCCTTGCTTGCCAATGCACGGTGCTGCAATGCTTGATCCTATCCCCCAGACTGGTTCATCCAAGTAGAAACGGTCAATAGACCTAGAATCCAGGTTCTAAAAGTACCACTGACTCCGAATGTAAGAATCAAAAAAGAGAGTAACAAATTGAAAGTCGAGCGGCGCCAGCTACGATAGGCAAAGCTAAAATTGTGTATGCAGGTCATAGTGAACAGGAAATGTTTACGCACTTATCTACGATTCACACCAGAGGTGGTAATTGCAAAGTGAAGTTCTAGCTCAAATAACGCAAGTTCGTGGTCTAAACATACTCGAGCATTAAAAAAGAACTCTTCCTCAACTACGCGACCCCCTAGATACACTTTCTACCAGCTCACCCATGCATGCATTATACTGAAGACCAGAGCGTGATTACCACCTCGGAGTAAGAATAAGAGGATGGACTGACCAATTCGTCATAAGATGTCTCTTTCATAACCATGTAAGCATTACCATAGTCTACTATCTCCACTGCTTTCACAGACTCGGAAAAATCCTTCGGTTTCCCTGGTACTTGGTTGACAGGTATGAGTCCATTGGTTAGGGCGTTATCGCTGCGTATGTTTCAATGGTCAGCGTCAAACCGGTTTAAGCAAATACAGTGATGGTGGGACTGACAGATGATAGACCTTGTGGTCGACTGCATCTTGAGCAACTTGTCTGCACATCAATTCTAATACGTGGTTCATCATCGGGCCCTGTTCCTCGAAGGGGGCAAACTTAAAGAGATTGGTGTCCCTAAGGGCAACACCCTCTTTTTTCTCCATGATAATTGCAGGACGGAGAAGTGGGGTTCCATCTGAATGAGGATACGGGATTTTACCAGCAGCAACAAGGAGACCCATCATCCGTAATGCCTTGACCTCGCCGAAAGGTAGTCCAGGCGGACCTTCCTGCTTGGAGAACTTTGCCAGGAGCTTGTGTTTGGGTCGCCCTTGAAGCCAGTGAGGTTGGGGTCCCTCAGAGGTAACACTGATCTCCCATATTCCATCATTGTTGAGCCCTCGTTTTATCTTTTGACCGAATGTAATGCCTTCCAGAGTTTTATCTGAATGAGAACAAATATCGGTGAATTTTGAGAGCACGAGTACAGTAATTGAATATAAAGCCTTACCAAAAACATTGTTGTCAGCTTCGCCGTGAGTCATGAAGTGCACAAGTATCCCATCCTGTAAAAATTAAAAGATAAATACATATGGCATAGTAACCGATTGGATTTACATTAACAAGTTCCTGAAAGGTTCTTCCAACCCCTCGTCTGTGAGGCGGAAGCTGATCGCTTGGAAGGCCTCTTTGATAAATGGAATCAACAGGGGGAATTTCCTATGAAACCTCATTAGCACAACACTAAAACTCAACCAAAAAAGGAGTGGTTTACATACAGAACCCGAGGATGAAGAGCATGGATTGACTGAAATTCCAATGTCTTTTGCGCCATAAGGAGCAGAGCGCACGCCAATAGAGAGGCTGGAGATGAGAATGAGCTTCAAGATGTAGCGAAGATTTTGCATAGCTGAATGAAAGACTCGCTGACCAGCAGTGAGAAGAGAGGGAAAGAGCAGAGGACGCAAAAATTGAAGCCAAGGTCCATATAGGTCATCGTACTGTATAGGTGATTTGCATCACCGTCGGGGCCTAACAGAGACGTAAGAACTCACACTGACTGGATCAAGGGGTGAGCTGGGGTGAGTTCTTTGTACCGGGTCAGTAACTGTCAGTAAGTACCTGTCAGTACATTCTTCATCGAAGAAATATTCCGCTTGTATTCCGATGGTGCTGATTCCATAGTCCGGTTCCATACAGTACTGTACTGAAGTTGCGTTGCAGTTTTGGGCCTATTTGGGATGAGCCCTGGATGACTCTATGAACTGAACTTGTGTTTCATTCACATTTCGCCAGAAAGATTTGCGTGAGATTATGGTTAGATGGTCGTCATGGCCTCCCAAGTTCAAGATCCATGACTATACCTTCTGCTAGTCATTTACACAGCCAGACCTTCATATAACCCATGTTCAAATGACTGAGTATGGACAAGGGACAAAATTGTCATATGAACTGAGTTTCAAAATCTTGATGCCAGGGCTCAACGCCCAAAAATAAGCAACGGCACATTCTTGTTGCCATCTCTCGCCTCAATTTGTCTCTGTTCATCCCTAGTATAAGTTATTTGAGTGACCTTGTATGTATACCTAGATATTCCTATATCGTATATGGTTGTCAGTATCAGTATATGTGAAGGTTTTGCCTGGGGGCAAAGCCCTGCGCTCCCACCCGTGAATGAGGAGGGTGCGAGTCACCCAAACAGAGCTGAGGCTCCTTCCCAGCACACTCCGAATAGGTGTTGGAGTTGTACCCCAACTAGAGCTGAGGCCTTGGATTTATCGAACATCAAGAATATATTGTATTTTATGTACAAGTTGAAAGGAAAGAAAGTTCAAGAATCACCTGAAGTGTTAGCAATAGCAAAACCGGCCATACAAGCATTAATAAGTTCGTTGCTGACTTTATGTTGCTTTCTGTACTGTTTGATATTGTCTGAAATTGTATCTATTTGAGTCCATGAATATGCCTTAGCCAAATGTGTTGGGATTATATGTTCCATGTGTCTCCAGTACAAAAGAAAGGCCAGGGATGTCCATCGGCCAATCATAGCAACCACTTCCAGGGAGATGCCCACAAGTAGGAGTTCGACCGCCCCTCCGATTCGGAAACTATGACCTAGGATGTGGCGCATCGCCGCTTGTTCCCAAACGCCATAACAAAATGTGAGAAATGAATGCTTGAACATATGCTGAGGGATGCCATCGTTGTCCATGTAAGCGAATAGCGAGAAATCTTCGGGAACCTTCATGTTCATCTGCAAATGTTTTGCCAAAGCATCATATGCACAGAGAATGTTGCCGTGACGTGTTATGACTACATTTGTCCCATCTTCCTGGGTTGACTTAGACCATGGTAGCCGTATATGAGCCGAAGGAATACTTCTGTGGGTATTGAGCTGTATTGAGATTGATATTATTTTTGTCCCTTGAAACGTGAAATTTTTTTTCAAAAGCATTGCGAGAGGGAATGGTCAGTTCTCCAAGTTGGTGACAGCCCCAGAACGTAACAAGGGCAAGTGCCCATATAGCGGAATGGAAGGAATTTGAAGGATCGAGTGTGCAAAAGAGAGCTAATAAATGAGCCAGAGTGATAGGGTGTCAATGAGCTGTCCCCTCCTTCTTTGCAGCCCTGCGTGCCATCTTTATTTCTGGTGAATCACTAGGCCACTGTGCTCCTGGATACTCAAACCATGCACGTAATCCTGAAAGCCAGTTTTTGATACAGCTACCTGAGACTTTGCCCATATTATGGCCAATGAAACCTGCAATAAGCATAGGGTGTGCCGGCATACGATCCTCTTCTGGAATTTCCATAGAATCACAATACTGGTTAAAGCGTAATGGACCAGCTGCATACGAAGATAACATATTCGGTGCAAGGGATTTTTGCATTGTCAATTACGGCTTGTGGAAGAGATTCTGATAAAAGTTGTTGGTATTCAATAGCCCACGGAGACGTCCAAGTGTGTAGTCGTTTGGTGGCCAGTGAATGTTTCTGTCAAGTCCATGCCTTGGTACCCCATTTTGCCACTCGGGATTCCAAGATCTACCATTTATTGTAATCTCATCTTTATTGTTCTTTCTCGCTACACATTCCCTTTCTACTTAGACTCTCCTTTATTGTTTTATCCTTTCCTCTATTGTCTTATTCCTTACCCTGCAGGTACTACACGTATAGCTCCTAGTAGTTAGTCTGGCGCTCTGCACCGATGCGCCGATCCATAGATATAAATACTGCCTGTATGCTACTGTAGTTCCTCAGTTTAATTATCAACTTAGATTATCCTCTTAACGCCCTTGACTTGAGAATCCCTCTGTACTCTGGTCACTCTCTAGTCTTCAGGCTCGACGTCTTGAAGTACTTCTTACTCTAGCCTTAGGACTTAGAAGTTCTTTGGTTTGCTCCTCATCACCGGCGGTACCGCCGCTCCGACTTGGCTGCTCCTGGCTCTTTCCTTCTCTACTCTCAATCTCCGGGGACTAGCAGCGTAACGGCGGTGTTGTTAATAACTTCACTACTGTCCCATTCAACCCTCCGCCCTTAGACACCTTGTGGCCTCTGGCACGGTTCCACGGTGTACATGATCTTAACAGTTTCCATAGGTCGGAAGGTCTGTAGTCTTGGGCCGGGGAGAGGTTTATGTGGAATCGGGTTGTGTTTAATCTTCGGGGTTATTGAAGATGTCAAAGGCATGTGGGGGATAAGGGGTGAAAGGAATGTCAGGATTAAGGGTGTTGTTAATTCGAGACTAGCAGGGGTATCCTGTGGTATCTGAGCAGCGGGCACTCGCAGAAGTACATTACTTGCACTAAAATCAGCTAGTGCAAATTCAGGCAGCAACCTGATAGATTCATAACAATTAATCCATTAAAATCAGTGCATAATACATGAATATATAAGCTTTCAATACCTAAACATAAATTAGAATATCATCTAGCTCCTGCAGGAGCATAAAAGCAAGTGGGAGTTTCTTATCCACCGGTCCCAATATTCTGTGAGATAGAGGGTCGGCTGGATTCTCCGCTGATTGAATGTATTCGAATTTTGGTTGTATGAACGAAGGACCAATAACACCACAAATACGGCGTACCAAAGTATTGATCCAGAAATTTGGACTGCGTGCTTTGTTGAGTGCGCCAATTGCACCCTTGTTGTCAGAATGGATAAGGATATAGGCATTGTGGTAATGCATGGCTTCAAGATAGTATATGACAATTTCTATTGCAATTGTCTCTAACCAGCAGATATCTCGTCCTGGGAGCTTCCAATCTGTAGTAAGCCGGAAGGCAGCCCAAGTATCACCAACCATAACTCCGATACCCCAATCAGTGGACGCATCAACATATATGCTTAAATCTAGCAGGTAACTCAACATTTGCAGTTTCCAATAATACAGAGGGTCTTTGAGATGTTCTTGCCACCACTTGATTTCTGTAAGGAGCACAGGTGTCGGGAAACAACTGGTAGAAGCTTTGCATTCGCCACGGTATGTAGCCATGAAGTTTGATATAGAAGGGAGATATGAACAGCCATTGGGATGTAAGAAAGCGAGATGACATAGAGTGCCGTGTAAAGATTTGAGTTCAGGTAATGGTGTTTTTTGACCGGTGAACTTTTCAATAAAGACCGTTGGTTGTCAATATCCCAACAAAATCCAATGAACATGACAATGGAAATGAATAGTTTGTCACCTTTGAGGGGGTGCCATGGAACGCTGAGTGGTTGAATTATGTCTAGCATTTGTTCGCGGTCATAGGGGTATACACCATCTTCGAGAGGTGCAGAAAACACTGCAAAATCGTCTTCTATTTTCTCCACTGGATATACCCCTCTGGCTTTCCAGATATCCCCATACTGCTGCTGAGACCTGTCCTGAGTTGCTACTTGCTGATGAAAGTCCAAAACAGTGGACATTCTCAAACCAGAAATTCCCATGATTATTGCGTACGACCAGATAAGGTTTGTGGTGTGGAAGTACTGAAATTGTCTTATGAAACTTTTCGATATTGAGTGTGAGGGCCCTGGTACCGCGCAGTGCCAAAGCAATCTGTGGGTATACATAGGTATAAGTTGGATGTTCTACAAGTGATAACACTGAATATAATAATGTGGCATAATGCCTGGAATAATAATTTTTTGGGCATAAAACCCATAATGCCTGGGATAATATGAACAGGCATAACACCCGTAATGACAAGGCATAAGCCCATGTCATGAGAAGAGCATAATAATATAAGGTGGTCCCTCGGATTGAAGCCAAGTAGACCTGTGAAGTAATTAGTGTGAATTAGAATGGAAAAGATTCGCCGTTGACATGCCTAAATTTTGGCTAGACATTTATGCTGTGAATTGTGACACTTTTACGCATAGATTTGTATCAAGAGGACTGTAATTGAGACCCAGAATGACAGTCAAAGTTAATACTGAATCAGTCTAATAGCTGAAGGGACCATATACCCATACGACCACAAGTTGGTTAGTTTACCCATCCTCAGTACTACCTTCGGATAAAAGTCTACCTGTTTGTCAAGCAGGATTATACCAGACTTGGACTACATCCGAAGGATGACCATTCACATATGACATACCAAGGGTATTCTTATTGGACCTTACACTGGCAGGAGTTTGGAAGAACTTACTCAAGTGACCATGAGCCGAGGATTGACTCAAAATGACTTTCTAGAACTCAGGAATTGTCAAATACTCCTTCTAGAACAAGATCATGCATTAATCTAGAGACTGCGATTTAGTCTAATAGACCAATCAGGTTGCATGGTTGAGGAGAATGACTAGAAGAACGATCGAAGTACTGCGAGGCTCCGAAGACATATCAAATGAATGTCAAAGAGTCCTGGTGTAGAAAATATTGAAGAATACAATTAAATAAATACTATGCATAACTCCCTTGATAGAGTATAGGCACAATGGGTGTCTATTGAAAGAGAGAAGCAATTAGTTTAATCCAGATGAATCAGATTGATAGGATTAGAATTGAGG